CCCGGCGGTCACTTCATATAAATGACGTTATGGAGACCATCGGATTTCTTGTTGATTATACGAAGAATTTTGTCAAAACAGATTTATTTCAGCCCAAGTAAAAGCCCCGGTAGAAAACCTATACAAAAATCGTGGTTAAAATGGGGTATATATCTCATCTTCAAAAGCTCTATGATGGGATCTGGCTTTAAAAGTTGGGCCACACACCCCTGTCAAATCAGGTGGTGGGGTGGACACACCGTGAAAATGGGATACGTTAGATTACGCGCACACAGTGTTCTACTCACCTGGCACGTGATATACAAAATGAGCTAATGAATATTAATAGCAACTCATACTTCATAGGAACACATATTTGTCTTTTTGTCTTATTTTTTTCGCGATCACATATTTTCGTATCATTGCATTATTCTGTAATTTAGCCATTTATATATATATACATATATCTGATTTGTGTAGTCAGGTAAATTTGTACATATATGTTTGTTTGTTTTTCTTGTTACCAGAGAGAGTGCATACAATGACTTATATTGTTCATTTCCAGTACAAAGCATATGTACCCCTGGTTGTTATAACCGTTGAAAAAAACACTAACATTCACACCCAAACTGCTATTTGATTCGAGATAGTATATTTGATGAAAGAAAATTTAATATGAATGAAATTTCGAACCGAGACTCAAATATACCAAACAATAGACATAAAAAATACATTATTCGCCGCCAGACTGGGCAAAAATGCTAAATCAGCCTAAATCTTACCGATATAACTGATTTTGTGTACGGACTGCAAAGTGGTCGGTATACAAATTGAAATAAATCAGTTTTTATTTTTCATATGCCAGAAGAAACGCTTATAAATCTACAAAGAAGGGATAAACCGAAACGAAAAGACATCGTTACTTAGATTAGGCACAACTGTCATACACTGTCTAATGCAGAGAACTGTCGTGCCGAGTAATTCTGATACAACTGTCATATACTGTCTAATGCAGAGAACTGTCGTGCCGAGTAATTCCGATTTCACAAAGAATAACACTACGATAAAGACTTTCCGTTTTCGACCGCGACATTGTAAAATTCTTTCCTGTTTTTTAAATCATCAAAGCAACTTATTTTGACAAGAAAATTCAGAAATATATTATTCATAGCGAAATGTTTTTATATGCACACTACTAATTTTCGCCATAGTTATTAATTACACATGAATATTTAAAAACAAAAGATAATTTGCTATACTAGTGTTGCAATTTATTTGTTTCGAATTATAACTGAAAGAAGCTGGATGAAATTACAAACGAAGTAGTGTGCATAACACACATATGTATGAACAATAATTTCAATAAATATACTCTGTAAAATACTGTATTAAAACGAAAGAATTTCACAATGACGAAATCGGAAGTCTTTGTCGTAGTGTCTAATGTTCATGAATGGGTAACAAAGTTCTAACCTGCATCCGAGCCTTGTATGGGGGGTGTATGTCACCCGATGTAACATCTTGCATTGGGTGGAATTAGGGTAGCATCGTATTACCGTTTGCTGACCTCGGCACGGCGCATCTCATGGTAACGGAGGAGTGTTACTAGTATCGCTGACTACTCTGGCATGTTTTAGTTTGTGCTAGTTTCTATCATTTAAATGCTTAGAATAGACACTTATTTTTACTTGTTTTGATTCATTTTACTCTATAAATGCTAGAAAAATACTGTCAATTAAATTCTGTTTACTTGTGTTAGTCAAAAGTTATACGCATTTTAATATGTTTCACTAGTGTATTCACCTCACTTTAACCATGGAGGTAAAAGAAAGATTGTTGCCTCCATGATTCAGTTTAACATTGATCCTTATGGCTAAGAAGCCATTTTAATAGGTATTACGTTATTGGTCAGTTTGATAGATTGTATTTCACTCAATCACTGCCATGCCGTAGGATAAAAATCTTCACTTTTAGGATTAAGATCACGTTATAAATAAAATTACTTTGACCACAGTCCCGACTGGATTAGACCTATAGAATTAGATATCACCCAAGTATGTGTGTACATAGAGGTAGTCTTGTCTAGCTCCATGGTGTGTACGATGTCGATTGCTGTCATACTTTCGTGTCGTTCAGAAATAATTGGTTAAACTATGGAGGTAGAAAACATACCTCCATGGTTAAACTGTATCCTGCTGTTAATTCCTGCGTAATCGACTGAATGACGGTAATGCACGATCTCACAACTTCAGTATTGACATCTAGTATCCTCCACAAGTGGTTGCTTTATATTGCTTGTAATAAAAACAGTTACCGGTAACAATATGAGGGCAGATTAAAACAATAATGTTCATGGTTTGACTTTCGTTTAAGCCAGTCACAGCGAGAACACTGCATTTACTAATGAGTTGCCAATTGAGATATTCTCGGCGAATTATAAAACATATAACTATAGTAATGTATATAATATATATTCAGCTGGGGTGTATGTATTTGCTGGAGGAATAAATTATGGAACAAACCTAACTCCACACAAGACTAACGTTTCTATTTATTTATTTTATGATTGGGATTTTTCCACTTGTCAAACTATATTAGTCACGTGTTTTATTGGTATAATATTTAATCAATAACAAAACCGAGATACATGTATTTTGTTCTATATCTTGAAACCGATTTGTAAAAATTTCTGTAATTAAAAGTATGATGAACCAGAAACACCTCACATGTTTGTTTTTTCTGTTTGTTATGTGTGCAAACAATGAATCAAAATAACCCCCGTCCCCGCATCTCATACAGACCAAATACGAAATTATAGGGATGGGTGTAATTATATTTGTAGACATATGCACACTTTAGAAGTCTGTGATAGATTATGTATGCGTATTTTACTGCTGACGAATTTAATATTTGAATGACCGCTCTTTGGCGATTTCACCCCTTTCAAGTTACAGGCATTTAGCGGCTCCTCAATACAGCTTTCTAATGTCATTACCTTTCAGTAATTGATTAATCTCTAAATACAGTAAAAGAACGTATGTTACGTGATAATATGATTTACAAATATAATGAAATATCAATTTATTCTATTAGAGTGATAGTGCAATAAATTCAGTACATGTACCATAAAATGCAAATTTAAGTTCGTTCGTTAATCCGTGAAAATGCAAGTGCTGTATTTGAAGACACATTGAAAGGGCAATGTGTATGAAATGCTTTGGTTACCATTTCAACTTACAAATTGTTTCTAAAATGTGTCTGGTCTTGGAAAAGGTGTGACAAAAATGGGATTTATAATACCATGGACTTTTACCTCAATGATGATACACAATACATACAACAAAGTGGCCCCTCCCCATACTATGCAAGTTTTTGAACGGTCGCAGCTCTCGGAAACTGACTTACCTGCACCTTGCCAATAATATCAATACGCCAAGACAATAGGTCAACAACGGTTACTAGAACAACCGTGGGTCAACGAAATTAGAAAATGAAATCTTTGAACAACTGATTATCTGCCTATCTTCGTTTTCTCGTGATTTTCAAGAACAATATCTTTTAAAAATTATAACTGTTCTTGAATTAATTGGCAAAATAATTTCTCCGATGACCCAGACAAACAGGGAAAGGACTGATAATGCTATCATTATTGTTTTTCTCCATATTTCAAGTTCTTGAACAAGTTACATCATGCGTTGGTCATGATTAGGGCAAAAAAGAGCTCCGTGATTGGGTGAAGGGTTAGACAGACAACCCTTTCATTGTTTCGATGTAAATTATATTTAAGTGAAAGCAATAATTGCGCATGCGCATGATTATTGCTGAATTCCGTTTTTCGATAGCTGACGACGTTCATAAATTCAATAACATACTATAAGTTCTTCAATGGTTTTATAGAAATTCATCGTCCAGGACGCTCAAAATGGAGCAGCCAGATCAAGGTGACGAAAAACCGGCTTCGTGTGTGTCTTCTCAGGAGAAAAGGCAGTCGATATCGAAAGTGGACGAGTTGGACCAGCCGTCGTGCGGGTACGGAAAATGGCGACCCGATTGTTTACAATGCTTTGCAGTTGGGAAGTGGTTTGTTTTTTTCGCGTGCTTGATGACTTTGTTACAGAGTATGGTCGGCACTGGGTACACAAGAAGTGTTGTGACCACAATAGAGAAAAGATTCCAGTTAAACAGTTCAACATCGGGGTTCATAATAAGCTGTTACGAGATGGGGGCTTTATTGGTTGTAACATTCGTCAGCTACTTCGGAGGAAAGGGACACCGACCAAAATGGATTGCGGTTGGTTCTTTATTAATGTTCTTGGGGACATTTGTATTCACGGTGCCTCACTTTGCCGGTACTAGATACATCATAGACAGTGTAAAGAACAAAACGGGTCCGAATGTGTGTGAACACGAAGGAATGCGATTAGAAAACCCGACATCCTGTGAAGACGATAGAATATCGCACTCGGTTTATGTTTTAATTTTTGTCGCTGCTCAACTACTTCTGGGTTTTGGAACTTCACCAATTTTTACTCTGGGTACTACCTATGTTGACGACAATGTCCCTAGGAAAGACTCGGCGTTATACATGGGTAAGTTAGAATCATTTTTTTAAAACAATATTATTGCTAGTGAATTAACGACCCTTTACATTTTGGTGTTTGTTCTATTTTTGGCTGACAGTTTACAAAACCAGACTACACTTTACTGGCCAGCTGAACGAGATTAAAAGAAAACCCCTAAAACGAATATCATTTTCACCTGAAAGTATTATTTAATTTATACAATGTAGTACTGACCCCCACCCAGTCGTGTAGACTATACACGTACCTCTGTTTATTTAATTCAAGAATGATCAACTGAATATAGAGTGTGAATTATTTGCATGTCAGTTCCAAGCGAGTGGAGGGCGTTTTAACAACAAGTTATAGGGTGAACAAACTTTTTATTTCCATAATTGTAGTAGGTGTGGATCATTGTCTGAGGCTATGGAACCACAGCTAAAATGAAATCTACATGTTGTTATAAGCTTAATCTATAACTTCACTGGTTATTAATAGATGATTTATCGTTCACTGTGAGATTTCGCAGATTTGTATGTTCATTCAGACACTCCATAGAAATCTATTTTCCTAAGAATTGATGTCCTCCACTCAGATAAAACAATAAATAATAAATGATTTTAATTAATCAACTGGATCTTGCTGACAACTCGAAAAATAACTGATTATACTCGCTTTTTTAATTAAGGAGGTTCAAGATGTATTGAAGATTGTATCTCATCCATACTTCCATTATAATGTAAGAAAATGAAAAAAGAAAAATTGGGGTCAATGGACAATTAATTTAGTAATTAGCTTGCTTGGGATTTAAAGTACCATTGTCATTAATTATTAATAATTTCAAATTATTTATGTTTACCAATGTTACTAATATGAGTTATATTTAGGTAGATTACTCTACATGTTTTGGTTTGTGGCAGCTTTGAAAGCAAGCTTTAGTTAGCTATAAGTCAGCATAACCTTTTCACCACCAGACCTTCTCACCCAGATTTTTCTGCACTTGTATTCTACAATTTTTCTGGAAATGAACCCTGTCTTGAAGCGAATATTCAAAATTTGAATCTATTTTTAGATTTTAATCGAAAAATATGGTTATTCTTGTACCAATCTTTGACATTGAAAAGGCTTCAACCAAAATTTTATAAAAAAACTTGGTTCCATTTTATTCCAGTAAATGTATATTTTACCCATACAATGATAACCTTACACAGTGTTAATTAAGAAATGCATTATTAATTATTATCCTGGTTGTCATAACAACAACAATCTCTAGAGACATTCTCCTGATTGGTATCCATAACAGTGCTTTTTGATAAGTTACAAAAAAAATATTAAGCAAATGAACAAATGAGGTTAAGATATTAGAATCTCAGAATATCAGGAAACCTTTCCCGTATTCCCCTGTATGAAAAACAACGAAGGTGATGATTTTTTCGAACATCAATTGGTAATCCAAACAAGTGCCTTGTTGGTGTAGGTTGACTAATTATGAAATACATGCAACCTATATTAGTTGAAAATCTGTAATAATTAAAGTTGTATTGGTGCCTTTATTTTAATAGAAGCCTTGGCATTTTTAATTAATATGTAATATGAGCTTTTCACCAGCAAATAAAACTATAATAAAGCATTGATGTCAATTTTTTTTATTGAATTTTTATCATCAAGTAAACAAATCACACTTCTGATACTTGTAAGTGCCACGACTTTCAGAATTGTTATTTGGCCCAATTTGCTCTAAATTTTAGGAGCTGCTAAAAACTTCTTTTAATATCATTGCATCAGTTTACATGTATTAGTAATGATGAATCATTTCATATTAAGTGTTTTTCCCTTAGCTGAGTGCCCATGCATGGTGGCAGATCTGCAATGAATAATATATGTAACAGTAATTTGTTTTCTTGGAAATTCAAGCATGTGCTACCATAAAAATACAAGTACTGGTATATTTGTTGATGGCAGACTTGCATGCATGTTTATTTCCCAGTAACCTAGCTTTTGCCATTGATATACATGTACTCCCATAATATTTTATTTTATTTGAAAAACACCAACAAACAAACAAACAAGAGATTATATGCAAGTCTATTTTTATGGTAAAAATATGTAATATTTTAATAATTCAGTATACAACAATTGTTGTATTTGGTTTATGTGTTTCTATTGTAGATGTGTTTCTAATCTGCAAATATGGTACTGTTATGACAATTGTGTTATATTATTTATTCAAAATTACAAAGTAGTGGCCTGTTGGTCATGCTGTGCCATAAATCATGCTCTGGTCAGTGTGTTGTTGAGGTGATTTTCTTGTCTCATTTGCTAACCATATGATAAGAGGTTTTTTACACAGCTATTTGTGATTTTATATCAGTATACTAGTTTCTAACTTAAAGCGTGGTGGTCGTCGCGCAGCGCGTGTTCGAATTTCATGTAAATAAACAATGTATATTACACGCGTTGTGTACGTCGCCATGAGTCCCATATCAAACAGAACGCGGCGCGACGACTGCCACCCTTTAATGTATGTTTTATTATTTTATCTCCATTTACAAGTGATCTTTAGTTATTTTGAATCATCGCTTCATGACTCATTGTAATATCAAGATCACTCAGATGATTTATAGCCTATACATATGGCAAGTAAATTCCCACTCACAATCAGTGTTCTTTCCAGGATACAAATAGTATGGCAGTACTGCCAAAATGCTTGCTTATACCACCATCCTGGTCTGAAGCTTCCCACAGTCATTATCCTGACTGCCACAGTGCCATTTCCACTGTACCATTGCTGACTTTTTAAATCAAATTGATAAGTTGCTGAAAACCTGTACACACGGGAATAAAGGGGCACTTTCAGTGTATAAAACATGTATAAAATAAAAAACAAAATAATATATTGTTAATAAAGGGGTACTTTTTGTTGTCCTGAAATATTTAAAAATTCTGGGATTTATAAAATCTCAAAAAACATTTTTTCTTTAACATTGTGTTCTATGGAATTGTTCTAAGAATAGCAATTTTTGGTACCATGGGACAATAGCTCCATGATTGTACACAATATACCAGTTGCCATTGTCACACGATTTATGACAAATTTTCTCCAAATTATAAGTAGGCTTCTACCTTAAGTGTCATTCAGTTATACTCTAAATGTGTAAATTCCAGTGAACCATTTTAATTTAACATCAGAAAAATTGTTATTGTATTGCATTGCATTATTGCATCCATCGACCACTGCGCTAAGGTCCTTATCGCTTTGAACAGCAATGTCAACTTTTGTCACCATGCAAAAAATAAAACCACATCATTTTTTTCATATATTTACCAAATTTTTAGTCAAGACTTGAAGTTAGTCAAAAAATACTCTATTTGGTCTAAAAATAATAAAAAAAAGTTGTAGAAAATAAATAAAATAGGCAAAATGTTGCACTAAAGTTTTGGCGGAAACATTTATGACACTGAGAAGGTTGCGGCTAGAAACAAAGTGACATTCATGCAATTTTATCCCTGTGAATAATCTTAATATGAATAATAGAGTTGTTGTGTCATGAAAATATGTTACAAAGTTATTACGAGAATACTGTAAAGAATGCATGAAGGCAATACAGAGAGTGATCATATCAACCAATGTGATTTTGTACTACCTGAGTATAATCTTGTGATAACCTTATTATTATACATCTTTTCCCATTTGTCATATATAACATCCGTAAATGCCAACATAAAGCATTTTATGAGATTCATATCTGAATGATTGTTCGTGTTTGACATGATTCGATTTATTTCTATCACGTGCTACATTAATGCTTCATCTGGTGTAGGTAAATAAAAAAAGGTATTCAAATGTGACGTAATTATGATGCCTATTTTCCAAATAATGATGATGTCCGAACACATTTAGACATGTTTTATGATGTAACCTTTTTAACTTGTCTGTACAAGTTTTTATTGCCTGATAAATTCTATTGTTTTTGCTACCTAATGCATAATAATATAAGGTTATTACGAAAATATCTCAAAGTATACATGAAGACAGTACAGCTGGAGTATCGACCGACGTGCAGCGGTGCACGGCGTACTGTCTGAGTGCATACTTTAAGGTGTTCTCGTAATAACCTTATTATTATACATCTTTTCCTTCCAAGGATACAAGATGGGAATGCTGAAATTCTAAATGTTTAGAACAGAATCAACGAACTTCTTTGTGTAGAGTCCGGTCAAACCCTGGTGGCAGCCATGTTTGTTTTTATTATTAGAGGATGCTTACAGCACGCTGTAACTTATGGCGTTACGGTGACAGATGTAATTCTTAGTATTCTATGTTGGTCTTCAAGAGCAGTAGCTTATAATGATCATATTATTGTCTAAGATTGGGAAATGTCTAATCACCACTCGTTACTGATTTGACGTTGGTACTGCCAGTAAAGACAAATTGGGTGGTATCTTCATAACTTTTTTCCATGACAAATCAATTATCAGCATCTGATTGTGTAGTTTACTAAAGTGCTAATTAAGTATATATCATGATTACCACCCCCACTTCAACAGATGGTACATTAATTTTAATTTGCATAATACGGTATACAACACATGTGTCTTCTTTCCAAGGGATTGTTTGCCAGGTGTTGTGTACATACTTTTAAGGCCATACTTTTTTTATTAAATAAGTATATATCATAATTACCACCCCCACTTCAACAGATGGTACATTAATTTTAATTTGCATAATACAGTATACAACACATGTGTCTTCTTTCCCAGGGATTGTTTGCCAGGTGTTGTGTACATACTTTTATGCCCTTTTAAGGGCATGTTGGTTAATGTTAAATTGCCATTGTTCAACATTGGTAAATTTTGTTATTTTTGCACATACATCTCAGGTACACATCAACCACAAATTAGGGTCCTTGGAAATTTAGCATATTTAATAGTATACATACATGTTTCCAACAATTCACACAAATTCCAAATATCAAATATTTTGCATAACAGTCTCAATCCTAAATAAATTGCTATCATTTCTTACTCCA